TGAAGCCACCCCGACCCCCAGGACAGACAGAGTCGGAGTAGAGAAGAGCATCCTCCCCGGAGAGTGATCCGGAAGCAGTCCCACTGTCCTCACTCAGACCCAGCTTCTACCCGCAACCCCAGAGTCACAACAGCCTCTGCCTGGTCTCCTGCCCCATCTGCAGTGCCTGTATTCTGTCCTCAACTGCAGCCAGAGGAAGCCAGAATGGCTGAGTCAGATCCCACGGCCCTGTCCCCAGGCATCTCCTTCCAGCTAAAAGCCAGGGTTCAGTGTCACCACGTGTAAGTCCTCCATCTGACCCCTTATCACCTCTGGATTCATGAGTCACCAACTCAGCTCTGTGTCAGGCCTCTCTGCTGTCCCTTCCGCACGCCAGCCACCCAGGTCCCCTGGCCTTTGCACATCCATGAAGCATCTTTCCTAACAGTGCGCTCAGTCCATCCCTCCCTCATCTTCATCCTCCTGGACTCCACTCAGGTACTCCCAAGGAGACCACTCAATTTAAAGTCACAGTGTGTGTGTGTGTGTGTGTGTGTGTGTGTGTGTGTGTGTGTGTGCACGTGCACGCGCATGGTGCTCAGAGGTCAACACTGGCTGTCTTCCTCAGTAACTTAACTTTGGATTTTGAGCTCGCAGATTCTAGACTGGCTGACCAGTGAGCTCCAGGGGCCCTCTTGCCTCTTCTCCCCAGTTCAGATTGCAGACACACGCTGAGGGAGTAGAAGATGCACACACTCCCTGGGAGGCAGACAGAGGAAGATGGCTGACTTCTCTCCCTTCTCCTGACCTGAGACAAAAGCTGGCAGCTAAAGGTCTGGCGGGCTTCCTTTTCTCCTGCCAATAGCCCTAGTGGTGGACTGGCTCACCAAGGTCAAGGCCAGATCTGGACAGTTTGAGCAACTGTGAGCCAATCAGCCAGCCTGTCTTTCTTCAAACCCTCTAACCCTAAGTTAGGTGAGGAAGACCCTTCAGACTTAGGCCTCAAGGAGAAGTGCTCTGTGTCTGTCTGTCTGTCTGTCTGTCTTTCTGTGTGCCTGCTGCTCATCCTAATAAAAGTCTTTCTTCAACTGCCAGGCCTGTCTGGTGCTGTCTGCACGGTTCACAGTTTCTCCACTGCTGACTGTGGCACTTGAGATGGTTTTTGTGCCTTTTAATTCTTTAACTGGCAGAGAAAACAAACCCAACTAGGATTCCTAGACTGTAACAATAGCATGTTTAGCTTTTTCTGTTTTGAAGATTTATTTTATTTTGTTTTGTTGCTGTCGCTGTTTTTTAATTTATTTTGAGATTTTTTTTTCTTTGTGTGTGTGTGGGTATTTTGCTTGCATACATGTCTGTGCACCATGTGTATGCAGTGCCCAAAGAGACCAGAAGAGGCCATAAGATCCTCTGAACTGGAGTTACAGATGGCTATGAGCCACCATGTGAGTGCTGGGAACTGAACCTGGGTCCTCTGGACAGGCTATTAAGAACAACTAGTGTTCTAACCACTGAGCCACCAGCTCCTGTTTTGTTTTAGACAGAGTCTCACTATGTAGACCTTGCTGGCCTGGACTCACAGAGACCCTCCTGCCTCTGCCTCCAGAGTACTAGGCATGCTTAATATGTGTATGTGTGCCTCTGTGTGTGTGTGTGTGTGTGTGTGTGTGTGTG